TCTACTAAAAACACAAATAATCAGCTGGTGAGATTGTGCAGGCCTGTAGTCCAAGCTACTTGGGAGGCTGAGGCAGGAGGATCACTCAAACCCAAGAGTTATTGTGAGTTATGACACCACGGCATCTTACCAAGGGCAACAAAGTGGGACTCTGTCTCAAAAAAAAAAAAAAAAAAAAAGGAAGGGAATAGAGTTAGTGTTATTGCATTATCTGAGAAAAAAGTAAGAATATCAATTAATATTAGATGTTTAGTCATGGATGCTAGTTGTATCCTAGGGTAACCATTAAAAGAATAAAAGTGTGTATAATATCTGAGTTAATAGAAAATATGAAAGATTAGAACAAAGAAACAAATGGAAAATACCTAGTATATATCAGAATAAGGTTAAATGAAAAACAACCTCATATGCCAATTAAGAGAAAAGAGTGCCAGATGAGCAAAACCCAGCACCACAACAGAAATACTCTGGAGTGGGAATGGGATAGAAGGGATGACAGAGGGAGTGACGCTTCTTTGCATTTACCTTTTTTGTGTAATGCTGACTTTTGGAGCCTTATTAATATTTCCTGTGCATCCCCTCCTAATAAGGATAGGGGGAACCCTGTGTATGTCACAGGGGCCTCCCTTTTAGCAGGACTTTGAGATCTAAGCACTACCATCTTTATATTTAGGAGAGCAAGGCCTCTCACCTTGTTTTTCTCCTTCAAAAGTACATGTATCTTGGCTATTCTTGGCCTTTTGAATTTACATTTTCATTTTAGAGTTGACTAAGTTCCTCATCTTGAGTAGGAGAGTGGCTCCCATATTGGCCGTATATACCTTTAGCTGTGTTGTTTGTCTTCCAGCTTTTCAGAAGAGCTGGTAGATGAAGCTCTGGGCGCTGTTGCTGCTGAACTTCAGGACATGTGTGAAGATTATGCAGAAGCTGTGTTCACCTCAGAATTCTTAGAGGCTGCTACATAGAGGCTGTCCAAGGCCGGACCCCTGATACCACACTGGAGAAGAGACGGCACCATCCTTGGTTTAGCACACAGAATCTCTTTATTCTCGCTGTCCATCCTGGCCAGAAGGTGCTGCCCAAAGAAAGGAAGGAAATGCCAGTGGAGTCATCCTCACTTTGCATTTTCTCTTTGTCGTAGCAATCGTTTTGGAAGTTTATGGTGGAATGTTGTTACATTTATCAGCACCCAAGAGATGTGAATTTAGGCAATATGATGTTATAAGAATGTATAACTTTTCTATTGAAATAATGTGTTCCTTCCTCCATCTTAGTCTGGTGATGAAAATGTTTTGAAAGGTAATAGATAAGTGTATTTCACCCAGGGGTTCTAATTACTCTTGAACCATGGGTGGCATCGATGCCAATACAAGTGCAGCTCTTAGCTGGTCCCATCACCAGGTTCACGGTTTGTATCTCTGGCACTTCCCTGTCAGGGGATAGACTTAGGTGAAGCACCGTTCGTTTCTGCAGCCAGATCTCTCTGAGCTCTTGCAACTTATTAAAAAGAGGAGCCCACCAGTTGTCATTGCACAATAATAAGCACACATTTCTTTAATGTTCAATTCCTAGGTGATTTTTCACATATTTTGTTCAAAATGTCTTTTATTGCTGTGTGTTGACACACTCTGGTGTAAAAAACTTGCTCTGAATTCAGAGGAAGTTACAGACATCAGAAGAGGACCAGTCCTTCTCCTGTGCCTGGTTTAAAGGTACAAAGCTTATTCTGTCTCTGAGGTCAGAAACTTCCACATTTCCAGATCACAGAGGACCCCCATCTGGGAGGAAACAGAGGAGAGGCTGGTGTTAAGACCTCTGTGTCTCCCCAGAGGGAGGAAGAAACTGAAGAACCGCAGTGGCTTGGTCCTCAGTGCCTTACAAGTCATGTCTCACCAAGAAAAAAGCCTCTGGGTTGTCATAGCCCTGAATTCAGAAAAAGAAAAGGAATGTGCCAAAGAATAAGGCCACTGCTTGGAAAATGTTTTTCCTCACTTTTTCGCCTTTGGCTTGGTGAAAGAATGTGGAAAAAGAATGCCATGAGATATCCCCCAGGGAATAATGTGAACCCTTTTATAACATGTAGAGTGTTGTCATCTGCTGTTTTCTCTCAAGTACAAGAACTTCAGATGATAATTTAAACTACTCGATCACACTTATTTGTGTAAAATTGATTTTCATTTAATGTTAATGTTTTTCTGCTTAATTTTATGTAACTTCAGAAGTTAAAGAGCTTCAAGGGAAATTACAGGTCTTTAATTTGGGGAGTTAAATGTGTACACTTGAATTGATAGGAGCATCTGTGGTTGCCAGTATGAAGTAATTTGTGTGGCAGTTTTTACTGTGCTGATTTTTTTTAATAAACTCTATTTTAAAGTATGTACATGTCTATTTGAAACAATTTGCATCTCTTTTTCCCCCCACAGGCAAAGTGAAATGTGATTTACAGAAACCACTGAGAGCACATTTATATTTGATACAAGCATAGGGGAGTATTTGCTACCCTTCCTTCAGAAATAAATAATAATAAAAGCTAAGACTTATTGAGCACATACTAGAGCATTGCTCTAAGTGCTTTCCATGTATTAACTTATTTAATCCTTTTATCTGTGTAAGATGGATACCATTATCATTAACCCCATTTTATAGAAAAATAAGGCACAAAAGAAGATAATTTAATCAAACAAACCTATATTCCATGATGCTATGCTCCACTTGTTTCCATAAAGATAATTATAGCAATTTTGAGAGCTTGGTTGAGTGGGTTTTCCTCCCTCTCCTTGTCCCCAGTCAGCACGTCCTGGACACCGTCCTCTGGAGCAGCCCCTTTACTAAGCACTTTCTCTTGTAGCCTGTCCACTGAAGGGTCAAGTCCAGACTCTGCCTTCTTTCAGGATCTTTCCAGTCTCCCCCTTACTCCTCCCACCAGACAGATTTCTGCTCTGACTCTGAGGGTGAGACTTATACCTACCTGTGTCCAGGTGTCTGCTTTGTAGCCCGGACTCAGAGTGAATCAAGGCATTCTTCAAAGACACACAAGTAAACCACAAGAAAGAAAACCTTTATTTGAAAATGGAAGTTGAATTCTTAGAAAACCAAAGTTCCTGTCTACAGACTTAGAGCCAGCCCAGACCCCTAGAACTTTGGTTTTTCATAAACAAGGGCTGATGGTGTGTAAATTATTCCCTTAATTGCCTTCAGTTTTCTCTTCAGTATTTTCAGAAGCAGAGACTTGATGAGTTGAGTCTGTGACTGTTGCATAGGCTGTCCAGAGATGCTGAACACGTCAGTGTGCTTCCCGCTCTCCACCGCGCAGCCGGCAACGCGGGTTTCCACCTGTTTCCACGCTCCCTCTGGTCTGTTCAGCTCCTTCAGGGCAGGGGCTCTGCCGAGCATGGGCTTGGCGCTCAGTAAATTCTTTTGAATTGATGAAAGAAGAAAGGCGCACGTTTTGTATAGTTCACACACAGAATGTTGACCTTTTGTGACCCTGAAACAGAATGCCACCTGAGAGAACTACAGATCCCCTCTCAGAGGTGCTGCTGCCCTTGGAATTCCAACCCAGATGGCGAGAACTTGCCTCCCTCCTCCCAGAGTGTGGCTGTGCCTCTCCGCCTCCCCTTGGGTCAGCGCCACCAGACTGGGGAAGGGGACGGACGGATGTGAATGAGGGGCCACAAGAACGACTCCCTACCCTGCCTCTTGTGTTTCTTCCTGTCCCTGTACTGTGTCCCTCCTCCCTTGGCCTGCGGGGTCGGTGGGTGGTGGGAGCTGGTGAGGAGAGAAGGCTTCTCCCACCCCTCCCTGGTGGGCTGGCTGTGTGCAGGGAGTGGGAATGAACCACTGCGCCGCCGTGCGGTGGGTCTGAAGGTGGAGGAAGGGCCTGAGCGGAGCCCAGTAAGGGCGGGCCAGGCTGGAGTCAGAGTTTCCTGTGTTCTCTGAGCCTTGGTGTAGGTTTCTATAATTCTTCTATGTTTCTGAGAGGAGTGCTCTTTGATTTAGCAACTTGAGATCATGCTGAGAACTCCCTGCAAAGCCCGTAAATCACTGTGTGCTCCTTACCACCACAGAAGTGTCCTTTGGGAGGGCCAGCCTGAGGGACAGCTCTGGGGGCTGTCTGGCCTCTGAAGAGCAGCAAAAAAGCATTGGTCTGTCTGTACATGTCCATTCAGCTCTGCTGGTTCAAGGGCAGAGATCTCTCATCTGTTTGCTGGTATGTTCTTTGGCTGAGCCCAGTGATATGGGCCAGGGTCAGAAGAGGTATACTGTGTGCTTCTACCAGTCCTCAGTAAGGCCCCAGGAAACCCCAGATTAGGGTCCTGGGTTGGCTGTCAGGCCAAATTGAACTCAGTCAACTGATCCATCAGCACTGTCCTCCTGACCTGGCAGGCACAGCTCGGACAGCAGGCTTGGCTGGCTTTTGTGGTCAGGCCTCCCCTGCACTTCAACTCTAGAACTAGGTCTCTCTCTTGCCAGCATGCCTGGAGCCCCTGCTCTGCTCTCCCCAGTCTTCTTCCCAAGCTGGCCCCTGCCCTCCCGGGTAACCCTGCTCCACGCCATCTCCCGAGAGTCCCCCTCAGCTGTTCTTATGCTCATCTGCCCAGTATCCCCGGTCAACTTTTCTTGAACCAGACCTGCTGCATCTTTGCATTTTTCCTGGCTGACTTCCATTCATCATCTGAGTCCCTCCTGTGAGCTGCAGTTGCGTCCACATGCCCCCAACCCTAAGTCTGCCCCTCCCAGCTCCCCGGTAGGTGTGTCCAGGTGGGCTCCACCATGTCCTGCTGCCTAGAATAAGTCAGACACCACTTTCCACCCTTCACTGAGCCCCGGCCCTCCGCAGGGTCTGCGGCAGAACCTGCTCCCTTCCCATTTCTCTTTGAGGATCCAGAAAGTACTAGTATCTCCTTGGTTCCACTGTTTCTTCCTGATGACTACTGCCCACTCATCACCGGTCACTCCCAAGCCATTTGAATATGCCGCTCTTTCCCCCCAATGGTGGTGTCATTCACTCTTCAGGACACTCTTGGCCTTAGAGTTTTCATTCCTCCCTCCACCTATTCCAGTACCTTAAAATCCTTTGTGGAGAACCTTTCAAAGTCATTTTTGGTGTTTTCTGGAGCTTATTTACACTAAAGAGCACCCTTATACCATCTTGAAACCCAACTGTAGACATCACTGAGACACTGCCTACCTCTGTGTCCTTATCGCCAAACCCCCCTCTGGTCACTGTTGGCCTCTATTTCAGTCAGAACCAACCCTCTACCCCCGCCCCTTCTGCGCTCCCTGCTGAGGATGTGTTCTCTTGGGTTGCTCCATATCCTCCACACCCCACTCTTCTCCCCGGCCTCCCTCCCTGAACATAGTCATGCATTTCCCTTCTGCGTTGCTTGGCTCCAGAGAATCTCACTCACCCACACATTGTTCTGTCTCCTCTGTCAGTCTTGGTGAGGTCAGCCTAAGACCTCCCACTCACGGGCTACAGATCCCTGGAGATGGTCACCATGCCTGTGCTGAAAAGCCCACATCCAATCCTGCCAGCTGCCCCAGTGGGGCCTTCGGCACTCAGAGTCTTTCTCTAGCCATGCCTGGCAGCTCTCGTGGGCATGGGAGAATTCCAGGGAGACTTCTGGCTCTGAAATGCTGTGATCTAGAGGGGCAGGGGCACTTGGGTCCCAGACACGTGAGCTCTGCCATCTGTTCCACAGCCCGAGAGTTCCCTGAGCCTGAGCTGAGTTTGACCTAGACAGCTCCCAGCAGACAGACACAAATTCCTGGGAAGCACATGGGAGGGAAGCAGGGAGACCAGGGAGCTGTGGAGCTCTACTGGCCCCCAGAACACTGGCAGCCACTGTCCTACAGGGCCCTAAGGACCTCCTGAGAGAAAGTCACGTCTCCACAGATAGGCTCAGTAAGAGGGGGCTCTTCTCAAGCATAGTTTTTTAATGCACTTCTTTTAGAGAGTTACCTAGAGGCCAAGAGAAGTTACATAAATACTTCAGATTTAAGATCTCACATCTACCTAACACGTTACAATTTACACAATGCCTTTAAAGAGGTTCTTTCTTTAGATGTCTATAACCACCCTTGCTTTGTGTACCAGCACTAATATGGCCAGTTAAGAATTGGAGCCACTGAGTTAAAGTCTTGTGTGACTTCCATGCCTCAGTTTCCTAATCCATGAAATGAGGATAAAAATTGTACCCACCCAAGGGCTCTTGCGAGGATTAAGGGGAAGACCCGTGAAAGTACTTAGAATAGTGTCTGGCAGATAGAAAGTGATCGATAAACGTTAACTATTGGGTTTGTCGTTGAGAGCCTTGGGAGAGAGAAACTTCAGCTTGCTCTCACAGGCGTAGTTCTAAGCACTGCCCTGGCTATCTTCTGCCCATCACATCTCTCCCCGTTTACACTGGGTGCCTCTCCTTGCCTTGCCCTTCAAACTGCACATGTGGCAACACTTTCCCCAGCCTTGGCTTTGGCTGTCTTGAGCAACACATCTGGTAGGTCAGGGTGGGCTGCCTCAGACAGGGCTCCGGGGCTTCCAAGGCCACCAGAACTTTCTACATAAGTAGAAAGGTCCATAAGTATGGACCACATACTTATGGGGTTGATGAAGTATTAGCCCCACATCACAGATGGTGAAATTGAGGTTTATAGAAGCCTCAGTTCTTTAAGGGGCACGGTGAGAGTTGTGCAGATAGTGACAGAGCTGGAACTCAATCCTAATCTTTTGACTTTAAGTTTAGCATCCTTTTCACTGTATCACACAGTTTTGTCTTTCTCCCAAGGGCATGATTCTTAGATGGCCTAGAAGATCTCAGCAGATGATAAACCTAAGTGCAGTCTCTAGTTTTCAAAAGTCAGCAAACATTGCCAGGCTCGTGCTTAGTTCTGAACTTATAATGATAACTGAGGTGTCCTCCTTACCTTACTGACACAGCTTAGCAGTGACCAGGTCAGAGCCGAGATACTGCCTCAGTTTCCACCCACCCCATCACAATCTGCTTCCCTCAGGCCATACAACCCTGCTGGGGCTGGGCCATGCTGTGAACCCTGCCGCACAGTAACAGCGGTGACTCCACTGCTTGGGTGCTGAGTACTAGCTTTATCTACATTACCTTATTTGATTCTTCACACTAGTATTGAAACAGAGACTATTAACCCATGTCACAGATGAAACTGAAACAAAGTGGAGGTTTTTTTTTTTTTTTTTTGAGACAGAGTCTCACTATGTCACCCTTAGTAGAGTGCCATGGCATCACAGCTCACAGCAACCTCAAACTCTTGGGCTTAAGCAATTCTCTTGCCTCAGCCTCCCAAGTAGCTGGGAATACAGGCACCCGCCACAACGTCCGGCTATTTTGTTGTTGTTGTTG